TTAATTTTAAATTTAATTTAATTTTAAATTCACTGTGAATAAAAGAAAAAACAAGATTTATTAGGCTTATCCTATGTAGCCACAGATTTGATGTGCTGTCCGACACCCCACAGCAATCCAAACCTACAAGTTGTGTCAGAATTCTTTCTCGGTATACTCCGCAGACTCCTCCCAGGTACAAGGTGATGTCTAAGAAGTCAAGAACAGCACTAAATGTAGATCTGTCTACAAAAGATCCTCTTAGGTTCCTCTCAAAACTCAGGCTGGTACTCTAATAAGCCACTGCACCAGCAACTCCCATTCTGAAAATGAGCCTCTGCTGCGGTGGTCCCCTCCCTGTGCAGATACAGGATGGTTTCCCGCAAGACTCCACAGATGTCCTTAGGGTCATCAGGATTCACAGCTGTCTCAAGCAGCCTGGGGTGGAGGCGGGATGTGACAGGTGTTCCTCTGTGCTGGAAAAAGGAGGAAAGGTCTGATGGCTGAAGAGGGACCTTTCTTGCTGGCAGCATGTAGTCTAAACTTTGCATCCCATGCATAAATCTCCACTCAGACACCTTTGCCCCAAAACGCTCCAAAGAAGTGCCATGGTTTATAGCTAGACGTCCCGCAGTGCCTGGTGGGATCAGAGGTGGAGTGTGCGAAGATGCCTGGATTACGGAGACTGTGGCTGATTTCCTGTTAGGAGGTGGGGCACGGGGTGGCGGGGGAGATGGTCACTGCGGGCAAAGCCTGGAAGGTTGTTTTCCCTGCTCCTCGACGCTGGCATCCTTGTCGCCATGATGCAAGCAGCGTCTCCTCTGCCTCGCCCCTCTGCCATGCCTTCCTGCCTCTGAGCCAGCTGACAACGAAACCCAAACCGTGAGCCAAAATAAACCTCTCCTCCTTTAATTTACCCGTGTGTTGCATACTGTGTCCCAGCAATGGGGAAAGTGATTAAGACAAGTTGCAAGCTGATTACTCACTCACCCGGGGGGCCTTCTGTTCTGGCAAAGTATCAGAGCAACATTCACCAATCTCCTTAAGAATTCCAGCTCCAGTCTTGACAATTTTCTTTTAGTTATTGACCATATATATATATATCTTTAGAAACAGGGTGTTGCTCTATAGTCCAAGTTGGCCTTGAAGTCTTATATAGCCCAGGCTGGCCTTGAATTTAAGAGCCTCCTGCCTCACCCTCTCAATTGTCAGGATTACAAATGTGCACTATCATACCCAGCTCAGTACTGTGCTCCAACAGAAACGCTAGCAATGCTTTCTCGGTTCAGAATTATCTTTGGATAGAAAGAAAAACATTGTTTGCATGGTTGTTATTGTTGTTATTTAGAGCCTACCCTGGGGAGCAGTGGCATCCAGGGCAGATGAACTAGGATATCCTGAGTATGCAAAACTCTTCTTCCTTTAAGATCTCTGCCTCTCTGTATCTTCCTTTAAGATCTCTGCTTCTCTGTATCTTCCTTTAAGATCTCTGCTTCTCTGTATCTTCCTTTAAGATCTCTGCTTCTTTGTATCCTCTCCCAAATCATACAGATGAGGGCTGTTCATCCCAGAAAAAGATGACAGCTCCACTACACTGTCCTTCAGTGGCTTCTACCTTTATGAGGAGGTCAGCTTTCCTATCTAAAGAGGTGTTCATGGGGCTGGGGATTTAGCTCAGTGGCACAGCGCCTACCTGGCAAGCGCAAGGTCATGAGTTCAATTCCCGGTACAGGAAAACAACAACAACAAAAAAAGATAAAAATAAAAAAAATAAAGACGTGTTCATGTCCAAGAATTTGTACCATTACAACACTTCATTAACTCAGCATTTACCGGGCACTTTCCATTAGGCAGGTATGGGAAAGAGGTGCTGGGGGTACAACTTTTAAAAACAAAACCTTCATTGTAATGAATGCATTGTTACAATAATAGCTAACTCCACCGATGGTCACATCTCATGCATTCCTTATGTCCACTCTGTAAAGTCGGGAGTTACTGTCTCACCTTCAAGGATAAAGCAACTAAGGTTAAGTAATCTACTTAAGATTAGCACATGGCAGAATGTGAACTCTTAAAGACTGCCATGTTTTTAAGAAGCAGGTTTTCAAGTGAGATTTCATCTAAAGTGTACTAAGATTTCCTTCCCAAGTTATTTTGTAACAGCTTATCTACCAATTAAAATTTGATCTTCAAAAGGATTTCCTGTAATAATGCATGTTATATTCCATACTGTTCAGGAAGGTAGTCATATGCTTTCTGAGGCTCCATAGCACCTGAAATGTGGCCAGTGGAGCACAGAACTACAATCTCCATTGTATTTAACTGAAATTTAAAGGACCACATGTTGGTGCTGGGTACAGTACAGTCATCCCTAGGTATATCGTGGTTCATTTATTGTGGCTTCACTGCATCATGGATTTTAAAACAAAATATACCTACTGCTGTATTGTGGAGTTTTTGCTGTATCCAGGGATTTTGCAGTACGTAGGTATTTATATAATATTTATGATTTTAATTATTTTTGCCTAAAAATTTTAAAACAATATAAAAACGTTAATTCAAACATATTAAAAGAATATTAAATCAAAATAAAACACAGTATGTATTTCATCAGCAGATGAATACCATACTGTACACAACGGAAATGCAGTAGGCCACTACCTTTGCGCAAGTTTGCCAACATGAAACGGTACAAGGCACACTATGGGCTGATGGGAAGGGAAGGTAACCAACCGCAGCACTATGTTCTGTAGCCTGGGCGCTGATTGGCTCAGTGACTGTTGCTTGTTTGCTCTCCCACACGGTGCCCATATGTTCAGCATCTCTCCTTGTGTTTAAGAGCATAGGAAGTGTTTATAAGAATGCGGGAAAGGTTAATAAGAGTGGGAAAGGTTTACAGGAGTGCGGGGAGGGTTTATAAACCCTTAAAATATATATAAATAATAAAATAAATATAATACCACTACTTCGCGGATTTTCACTTGTGCTGGTGGTGGTGGGGTCTCCGGACGTAACTCCCGCGATAGGTGAGGGATCTAGAGGCTATGGAAATGGTTGTATTTCTCCTGATTTCTCTGTAAAGACAATGCCGAGGCAAAGTAATACACACTCAGTTGATGAAAACGGAGGGGAAATCTTTAAGAAGGAAGCCCCGCCCCACGCAGGGGAGCAGTAGTCTGTATTACATCAGGACTTTCGCTGTAATAAAGTGTTCCACTGGCACATGACACAGCACGAGCCTAGAAGAGCTTGGAGGTGAAAAGGCATGTTTGCAATGCTTCCCAAAGGCTGACGAGCATATTCAAAGTGCATACTCAATTCGATGTATTTGCCCAATAAAAAAGATCACTCCAATGTGTTCCTTGGGAAAACATGGAGTCCACAGGGAGAGACGAAAGGGTGCTTTTGGTGGTGAACAGGGAAGACACGAAACTCATTTCCTGCAGAAAATTACATCAAAATTCATAACTTTTTAAAAGACTAAACACCTGCCAAGTTCTCCCAAGTTCCCTCAGGGATTACTTTCTCATCGCTAGGTATGTCTACATTCCTAGATTCACGGAATTCTGAATCGGGAAAATCAGGAGGATAAGGATCAGTCAGGTTCCTGGGGTGCAGAAGGCGCAGGGCCCACCCCGTGCACACCCAGGCTTGGGAGCACTCACCACCTCAGCAATCTTACTGTGTCACCGACCGGACTAGACACGGAACACGGTGGCTTTTCGCCGGACTTGTTAGAAATTAAATCTGGATTTCAAAATCATACAAGCCCTCAGTGGAGAACTGTCAGACGGCTCCTTGCCTCTGCAGAGGTCCAGCCAGGTTTTGTGATGCCATGAAATCAGCGCTTCGTATTTCGAAAGCCTGATGTTCCCTTGGTAAAGGCTATATAATGTCCCCAAAAATGCATAAAGAAAAAAGGAAAAGAAATTCCACGTCCGCTGGCGCCGGGAGGATGCCGGCCTGGGTCTGTCCGCGGCCG